ATCACCACAGCTGAGCATGAATGCGCGGTTGGCTCCGGAGCTGTTGGAATTGTCGTTACGTTTTGTCGCTTCAGTGCTCTTACGTGCAGAAGTTCGTATAGAGGCGTTGGAGGGCGGTTTATTTCTCCAAGCTTACAGCTATGTGACCGCGAATCTTCACTGGCAATGCAGAAACCTTTCCAAGGGGGAGTGGCAAGCTTTTTCTCTCCGAATGCTGTGGATAATACTCTGTAAATCGAGCAAGATCCGTATGGCTCGTCGCACTGTGGATAATACGAAGTCTATTAATGAGAAACTGGTCAGCAACTGAAGTAGGTAGATGTAGCTGTGTTATCCGTTAATACAAAAACCGCTAGCATACTACCATACTACCCATTCAATCTGTTGACTGCCATTTCTAGCTAAGCTCCGAAGGATAGGTGCCCGTCTTGACTCGCACCAGAATTGGCAATCTCAGACGCCAGCACGTAGATGCTCTCCTCGCTCACCTCAATGCGTGACAGTAACTCCATCTGAGCTATTAGTATCTTCTCGAGGCTTGCGCCGATCTTTTCAAGCGTGTTCTTCATGTCCATGAGCTCGTAGATGCGCGCGCGCACCAGCTCCCGAGCGAGCGACCTTCCGTCCATCCTTGCTGCGATGTTGGATCCTTGAAATATTTGCTAAGTGTGAAAACATGTGTCCCACACAGTGTAGTGTAGGAAACACAACAAGTTGTGGGTGCACACGCATTTAAATTAAGGATGTGGTGGGCGGTAATTTACACTGCTACTGATGACGGGCGACGACGTGGCCACGTCATTTAATTATAAAATAACAAGAGACCATATGTTTTTGTGGTCGCTTTAGGCGATAAGGTTGCACTACTAGCGGTCTGGGCGCCCGCTCCGCGGACGCTAGGGCATAATTGGTTGGTGTAGTGCGGGCTGACCATCTTCGCTGCGCTGCGGTGTGCTTAGCGTTTCTACGTGCAGCAAAGCAACATATAGTACATGTATACTGTGTTCTACTTATATTACGCTCCAAAATAACACCGCACACAGTATATTTAGTGCTCACATGTTATGATAGATATGACCAGGGTTTAACGTGATCTGCAAGATGAGCACCATCTTACCCGTGAAGTTTTGTCTATAATCGCATTTGAGCGCATAGCCCCAAAATGACACGAATCGGAGGCGTCCGTGGCTGCAAAGCTAACAAATGCTGTTCAGAAGACATGTCAGTATCAGTGATGATCCACATTGGCATAGACCGGTGAGGAATCCCAGTTTAGCTGGAGTAAATACGTCTACTCAAACATAATATCATCTGCTCGTCATCGCCGTGAGGCAGTCGACACCATATCATTGATTGCGACGGTCTATTAGAGAAAGGTTTAGTCAGCTTCTTGCGCGAAGTATCTTTTAGGACAGGTAGATTTTGCCGATAGTCGCGACAAACACCAATATTATGCGTTGCAATTGTTCTGCTGAGCTCTTTATGATATTACTGAAGGGTGTTTCCACTTTGTATTGCATGCATTGATTCTACTTGCATAGCTGCCGCACATACTGACTTATTTGTATAGATTCTGACTGATAGAGTGGCGTAGACCCTTTCGAGAGACATTTACTGGCTCCGATATGTATGACGAACATACGAAGCCACATAAGTGTAGATAGATTATCAGATCGTAAATATCTTAGACTTGGTTCGAATCGTCGCTCATGTACATTATATGAAGTACGTTTGATGCCTACTCATCAACTCGGCGTGCTATTTGATGTATCCGTGCATATATTGCGAGGTCGTTAATGAGTGTGTATACCACGCTCTCGTGATATCTCAAACCTATGTATAGGATCACTGTCGCTTTCACGGTACATTTGCGTCGTCGTGCTGGCTTACTGTGCTTACGCTTCTGATGTATCTGTTTATATGACCAAGCAGGTCACTAACTGGGCACAGACCATACTGCAGCGATACTGGCAAGCTGACCGCGCGTCTGTCACCTGTATTACACGCAGTATCTACGCGCGCGGCGGGTACACCTTATAGCTACCCGCGACTGAACCGAGCTCTTATCTCGACCATTATGGACAGGGCACTAAAGTATAGTACTGCGTACAGACAGTTCGACTTCCACACTCACCGGTATTGTTTGCACTACTGCACACGTGCTCGTATCTATGTAGACAGCAACTTAATCGTCGCGTGTAGTGCTCACTCGATGCTGTAGTTTCAATTTGTGAGCGCACATTAATGGAACATACGCTGTGAGCGCTGATGTCACAGATAGCATGGTTTGCATGTATCCAAGTGAGCGAGTGTACTCTCGATCTATTGTTACGCGGAAGCAGATAGGGACGGTCAGCTTGCAAGGGTTCGCAGTAGACACCATGCGCTAATTATTATTTGAAACGCGCTACCCTCTGTAGATGCGTCAACACTATTGGCAGCGCCATAGTCAGTTACCGTATGTGCGGCTCCAAGCCTCGTACCGTCACCAGTATACTAAATACAAAGATAGGTAGGAAAATGGGGGCCTAAAAAGGGTATATTTACCAATTACTTGCTCTTCTGCTGCTTCTTTTGCTCGATGTACTTGGCGTTTCGGGTGGTCAGCTTGCGAGGGCGGCTGCGCCTCTTTTTCTTCTTGGGGTACCAGTCAGGACCCATCGCCTTCTTGACGTTTGACAGGCTTTCTTGGCGGCGCACTTCGGCCGAATCAGGAGGTGGGGGCTTTTCCTCCCAGAACTCAACCGCTTTTGGGCCGTTCTCGCAGACAATACAGCGCCGCACGATGTCCCGCCCGCTGATTGTACGGAATGCGTAGCCGTACTGCAGCGTCCCGCAGCAGACGCAGCGCGCCCGGGAATCCGTCGTAGACCGCTGCGGGTTCAGCAGTTGCAGGCCAATATTGGCCTTGCACGTGGGCCTCGCCATGTTGCAAACTGTGAAGGAAATTTTATAATTACTAACGTGCGTAAAAATATTAGGTATTCTAACGGATACTTACTGCTGGGTGTTTAATATTTAGCAAAATATTAAATAGTATTATTATATCATAAACATGATATTATTTTAACCAATAAAGTACGTCAAAATATTTAGCCAATACACGGCCATTTAATGCCGGTACTCATTATTACACAAAAAAAGTTTTTTTTTTAGTTTTGGGAAATCGCTTAAATAATGATATTATTATTTTTGTACAATCATACTTTTCAGCAATAGCAGCACCACCACGTAAGTACCATTCGCGCATGCAGGCGCTGCAACTATTATAACACAAAGGTCGTGAAGCCTCCTTTAGTAATAATAATACTAATTAATGAATATATCGTCTCTACTTTGAAAAACGTGTGGAAAATAACATCGCAGAGCTTTAACTGCATGGAGTACATACGATAGGTTTTGCGTAGCTGAATGTCAATAATTTAGTATCTGCGCAGCTCGCCTAGCTGTTTGCAACCAATCGATGCGTTTCGTGCTCGGCAGAAATGTTTACATCACGTCCAGGGCGAGAGACGGTCTGATCGTGCGACAGATCCAGTCAGTGTAGCAGGTCGGCAGGTATTGCCCAATCAAGGCGCGAGTTAATTGTGTAATGCTTTTGGATATATTTGTAATTTTGGCATAGTTAGGTCGAGTCAGAAAGGTAGGCACGGTCGGTACGATGGGAGGAAACTGTATTAGACAGGCCGACTGTAGTCATGCGAAAAGGCAGGCAAAAGCAGCAAGACGGGGAATGCGACGGACTGACGGACGGACAGACCGACAGTTAGAAGCGGGGAGATACTTTGCT